GGCTATTATCAGCAGGAGAAAAAAAACTTTTGTAGTGATAATCAGGATGGCCCATTTCAAACAGTTGACAAGAAGGTGTGAGTAACATGCCAGCAATGCCCCTCTGCCATGTACATTGGCCAAACTGGACAGTCTCTACTGTGACAGGCTCGGGCCAGATGGCTACAGGAGAGTGATAGAAGGCAGATATATTAGCCCCAGGTTAAGTAGGTCCCTTTTCCCTGGGTAAGGTAACAGGGAAGGTTCCAGAACAATCAGGAACTTTCTGGAAACAATTAAGGCAGACAGGCTGATTAGAACACCTGTAGCCAATCAAGAAAGCTGCTAGAATCAATTAAGGCAGGCTAATCAGGGTACCTGGGTTTAAAAAGGAGCTCACTTCAGTTTGTGGTATGCATGTGAGGAGCTGGGAGCAAGAGGCACTAGGAGCTGAGAGTGAGAAAACATACTGTTGGAGGACTGAGGAGTACAAGCATTATCAGACACCAGGAGGAAGGTCCTATGGTGAGGATAAAGAAGGTGTTGGGAGGAGGCCATGGGGAAGTAGCCCAGGGAGTTGTAGCTGTCACACAGCTGTTCCAGGAGGCACTCTAGACAGCTGCATTCCATAGGGCCCTGGGCTGGAACCCAGAGTAGAGGGTGGGCCTGGGTTTCCCCCAAACCTCCCAACTCCTGATCCAACACAGGAGGAGTTGACCTGGACTGTGGGTTCACAAAAACTGCCAAACTGAGGGCTGCTGTGAATCTCTGAGGTGAGCAAATCCGCCAATAAGCGCAAGACCCACCAAGGTAGAGGAGGAACTTTGTCACAACACGCAAAAGAATAAATGGACACAAATCAGATGTCAAGAATTATAACATTCAAAAACCAGTCGGAGAACACTTCAATCTCTCTGGACATTCAACTACAGACCTAAAAGTCACAATTCTTCAACAAAAAAACAGACTCCAAAGAGAAACTGCAGAACTGGAATTAATTTGCAAACTGGACACCATTAAATTAGGCTTGAATAAAGACTGGGAGTGGATGAGTCATTACACAAACTAAAAACTATTTCCCCATGCTAATTTCCCCCCTACCCTTACTCACACCTTCTTGTCAACTATTTGAAATGGGCCATCCTGATTAGCACTACAAACGTTTTTTTTCTCCTGCTGATAATAGCCCACCTTAATTGATTAGTCTTGTTAGAGTTGGTATGGCATTTTTTCATGTTCTCTGTATATATATATATATATCTTCCTACTGTAATTTCCACTGCATGCACCTAATGAAGTGGGTTTTAGCCCATGACAGCTTATGCCCAAATAAATTGGTTAGTCTCTAAGGTGCCACATGTACTCCTCGTTCTTTTTGCTGATACAGACTAACACGGCTACCACTCTGAAACCTGTGTCCCATTGATTATCCTCATTCCACCAAGTTTCTGTGATGCCTATTATATCTATATCTTAATTCAATACAAGGCACTCTAGTTCACCCATCTTATTATTTAGACTCCTAGCATTTTGACAGGTTTCAGAGTAACAGCCGTGTTAGTCTGTATTCACAAAAAGAAAAGGAGGACTTGTGGCACCTTAGAGACTTACCAATTTATCTGAGCATAAGCTTTCGTGAGCTACAGCTCACTTCATCGGATGCATACTGTGGAAAATACTCCTAGCATTGGTATATAAGCACTTAAAAATTTGTCACTTTTTAGCTGTCTGCCATTATGTGATGTAATTGAATGGGACTTTTTCTCATTTGACTGTTTCTTATCAGATCCTGCCTTTATTTTATCATCGTCCATCCTCTCCTCCTTACAAGGACATAAAGAATCTACATTAATAGATCTTCCCCTAAGGGATATCTCTGTCTGAACCATGTGCTCCTCCACACCTGTTGACTTTCCCCCAGCCCTTAGTTTAAAAACTTAGCTGGCTCCATGAACTGGACATCAATTTCCGAGTGGGCGTGTCCAGCTCTGTCTGTCTCGGGTTCTTCACAAGGAGAGAAAGAGGTGCAATGGATGGTGTCCACTCCTCAATGCAGTTGCTGGTCCCGGTGTCTTCCCAGCTCCACCTGTGGGGCACAGAGGGCAGCTCTCCCTCCTGGGGGAGGAGAAGCTCAAGGCAAATTGTGGGGAGCAGAATTGCAGTTTTCAAAGTCTCTCCCACCTCAGGGAGGTAGACTGGGCCCTGGAGAAAGTCAGAAAAGTTCCCAGCTCCTAACAGCCCCCTGCTGTACCGTGGGATGGTCAGCCGTGAACCTGCACCACTGGTCCTGATGAGCAGAAAGAAAAAGGTTTGCTCCTGTAGTGTACTCCAAAACTCGACTAACATGGCTGCTACCCTGAAACCTATCAAATTACCAGGGGCTCGTTTAATGGGCCTTCTGACTGTTGCCCTCAAATCGCAAGGGAGCAGCCCACTGTGGCTAAGCACACACAGAATCTGCTCACGTTCCCTGCCATGGCATTGCAGTTACACACACACAGACCTGAACAATGCTGCTCTGTGCCTCTGGGAGCCCACACGTCTGGGAAGCGCCGGGGAAGCACTTTATAGTGCCAGCATATTCCAGCTCTCCTGCTTGTCAATGCCAAAGGGCCGTGTCTCCTTGATGCCAAAACGTCTTGTGTCCTATGCAGGTGATTTTAATCCAATTACATCTCAAATCATTGGCTGAGACAGCTCCTTTGGAGAAACAAGCCTGCAGCTTGCTGTTGAAATACCCTTTGAAGTTGTACAGTGGAGCTTAGTTTGCAGAGCGATGAGGGCTTGGCTCCTCCAAAACCTTCAGCAGTGATCCCCCAGCACTGAAGGGGGGTGTTGTTTAGATTGTCCAGATGATACTGGGTACAGAGAAGCAGATTAGATTTTTAGCTCTGGCATTGTTTTAGGCTAGGGTTTAGGGTCAAAGCCAAATCAGGATTAGGACTTGTGTTTGGATTTGACTCAGTGAAATCTCAAAAACTGATCTCATAATATTTTGGCCCAAAACATGTAAAACTGTCTGACCTGATGAGACTTGAGCCATCTTGAGTGGGGCAGCTCACACAAGACCAGCTGTTCTCATAAAATTTCAGCTGGGTGGGAATTTGAACTAGAAGAATCCAACCCCATCTGAAACACAGAGGGGACTCGATTGGAGGTGCCAGTTCGGGTCCATGTCTGGGTGAATCCTGGCTCCACTGACATCAATGGCAAAAATTCCTTTGGGGCCAGGATTCCCCCTCTGTTTTTTACAGCAAGTCCATTACAGCAGAGAAAATCTGGAATGGGTGAAACATTCTGTGCTGTGCTCTGGTGCCCGGTGTGGGGCAGCCAGCACTCACAGAGTTACCCAGAGGATAGGACATGGTGACGAGGGCACTCCAAACTCTCCTGGGGTCCATGTGCCCTTGTCCGCCCACCCAGGCGTGCGGGAACAACGTGTATAGTGGGAGTGCTGAGAGCCATTGAACCAAACGGTAAAACCTGTATGTCATGGAAACTACTTCAAGCCAGGGGGCATGGCTGTTTCAGCATATATGCATCCACCTACGTCCTCTCCTCCCCGTGTAGCCTGTGCCCCTCTCAGACGCTTCCTCGAGGAAAATGTCTCGTTCTGTCTGTTGGCCCCGGTTCATTCCAGTTCCCACAGGAAGGGAAGGCATGAGACAACCCTGCAAAGTGAACTTCCATCACAACCCAGTTCCTCTGGGTTTCAGTGAATTTCCTCCATCACCTCGAAACACTTCCCCACTTTTCCTCATGGGTATTAAAGTACTAAATCCAACACAAGAAAGCACCTACCGCTCCTATGCCAAAGGGTTTGACTCCTGGACTCCACTGTAGAAACTCCCTCTTAATGTTTCCACCTCCTGATGGGGAGCCACCCCTTCCAAACTAACATTTGCTTAGGCCAGTAAGATTACTGGGCTGGTGAATTACATGCAATGAATGTGCTCATTCTCTATGGTAAGACAGGTATTGATAATTCTAGCAATGCAGCTACACAATGGACAATAGATAGCTTTCTGTGTATGATGCAGCTAAGGCACCTGCACTGTCTTGGCTAACCAGACCTGGATGTGACAGAGAGCCAAATGCAGCACTTGGTCACACCCGTGCAAGCTCCTTGTACAGCTTACTGGGGCTGCACAAGGGTGAGAGAGGGCTGTATTCAGCCACAGGACTAAGGTCAAAATGCTGCTCTCCGGTCCACACTGTGGATCTCTTACCCATGCCACAGAACAGAGGGGAGAATTTTGTTCCAAGGCAAGTTAAGAGGTTCTACCTACTCAGTCATGTTTCCCTGGACAGAAGATGCCATGTAGGACTCATACTGCCTCGCTGGACTCATTGGGCCTGATTTTCCTGTAATTTCCACCACTTTCACACTGGTGGAACTCCATTAATTAGAGCAGTTACTCCTGATTTGCACCTGCAGAAGTGAAACAGGAATGATGATAACAGTGATTCTTCTTGCACTGTGAATGAGAGTTTGGCCTCAACACCCTAGGAAAAATATTAACTGCAAACAGTATGTCAAGTCGCTGTGTGTGAATGCCAACGTGTCATTGCACAACTCAGCACAACATCAGGGCCCTGGAAGTGTGCCGAATGTCTTCCATGCTTAGAAAGGTCGCAACTAGCAGTGAGTTCACACAGGCAAATACACACAGGGGCACAGCCAATCATGATTTGGGAAACTACTGATGGTCACCTGCTAGCCACAGGTGCCTGTCTCCCCTTAGACCATATGAATCATTCAGCATTATGCAGCTGCCTTTTAAACCAGGAAAAATAGCAGCTTCTGTATAGGCCATGAACATATCTCTCCCCATCCTAGTGAAACCATTTAGCTCTCACCTATGCAAAGATAGGAAGGAGTGTGCCTACAGTGCACGTCAGATATGCACTTTAGATTCAAGTGTAAAGTCGGGTTTCTACTAGTAAACCAAACAGAGAGCTCGAGTTCTGGATCAGCCCAGCTGGGGAGCAAAAGAAGCAGTCTGGAAAAACCACCATACCTGTTTCTATGGATGAGACCTCCAATGCCATGAAGTTCAGCAGAATCAGCCACTTTGATAGCATATGCAAGTGTCCCCTCATCTTTGTGTTTTCTTTTTCAGGAGCCCCAAATCCCAAGCTACAGCGAGACATGAGGAAGTACTGGCTAGGCCAGCAGCAGCTGGTAGACTGAGGAGTGTGGTGACCTTCTAGCTTTCAGTGAGCAAATCAAGCTGGAGGTTGCTGTGACATGGGAACAAAGGGAAGCAGCTGATCTGCTCATAGTGAAAGGCAGCAGCCCTGGTTGTTGATTAAAAGGCAGAGGACTTTTCTCTTTCTTGTCTGGGCACAATGACTCCTAGAGCTTTACTTTTGTCCTTGCTTCACTCCGCTTTTTACGGTCAGGATTTGTGTTGGTTGGGTAGCCATGGCAACTATGGGAATTTGATGGAGCAGTAGAAGAGCCAGGGGGAACAATAAAACATGCTGCTCCAGGAACCTCCAATCCATTACGAGACTAAAAGGCATCTATGTGGTGACAGCAAACCGACATGGACAATATCTAGCCAATGAGGATGAGGCATGGATGTGCCAGAGCATTAACAAGACAGGTATTGGGAGATCCAGGCTGAAAACGATGGGCTCGGGACTGATTTAGAACTGATGGAAACCGCTGAGGCCCTGATTCCATGAGGTGTTTGAGCACTCCCATCGAATCAATGGAGCTACACAGACCGTTCAAGGGAAGCACATGTTGAAGCACCTGGCTGAATCCAGGCCATAAAGAGAAAAATCATAGAACAGACCCAGGCAGCTTTAACCTTGCAAGGGAGGTGGGAGAAGGTAACCATTTAAGGAAGGGTATCAGGTCGCCAATGTTTTTCAGAAGACCCAACTGGACAAAACAAAATCATCTTCTTTTTCTTCCTTCAAAACTTTATTGTCCTGGTCTCATTTCCCCGATTCTACTACTTGGGCCCACTTCCCCCTTGCCTTTCATCTCCCTCCCCGTGCAGGATGCTAAGCCCATAGGACTTGCTTATGGCACTCACAGAACTACTGCTGGAGGGTGAGATCTGCAGAGCGGTGCAGGAGGTTTAATGCTAATGGAAACTGGGTGTCCAAATCCCCTTGATGGCTTTGAATCATAGAATCATAGAATCATAGAATATAAGGGTTGGAAGGGACCCCAGAAGGTCATCTAGTCCAACCCCCTGCTCAAAGCAGGACCAATTCCCAGTTAAATCATCCCAGCCAGGGCTTTGTCAAGCCTGACCTTAAAAACCTCTAAGGAAGGAGATTCTACCACCTCCCTAGGTAACGCATTCCAGTGTTTCACCACCCTCATAGTGAAAAAGTTTTTCCTAATATCCAATCTAAACCTCCCCCACTGTAACTTGAGACCATTACTCCTCGTTCTGTCATCTGATACCATTGAGAACAGTCTAGAGCCATCCTCTTTGGAACCCCCTTTCAGGTAGTTGAAAACAGCTATCAAATCCCCCCTCATTCTTCTCTTCTGCAGGCTAAACAATCCCAGCTCCCTCAGCCTCTCCTCATAACTCATATGTTCCAGACCCCTAATCATTTTTGTTGCCCTTCGCTGGACTCTCTCCAATTTATCCACATCCTTCTTGAAGTGTGGGGCCCAAAACTGGACACAGTACTCCAGATGAGGCCTCACCAATGTCGAATAGAGGGGAACGATCACGTCCCTCGATCTGCTCGCTATGCCCCTACTTATACATCCCAAAATGCCATTGGCCTTCTTGGCAACAAGGGCACACTGCTGACTCATATCCAGCTTCTCGTCCACTGTCACCCCTAGGTCCTTTTCCGCAGAACTGCTGCCTAGCCATTCGGTCCCTAGTCTGTAGCATTGCATTGGGTTCTTCCGTCCTAAGTGCAGGACCCTGCACTTATCCTTATTGAACCTCATCAGATTTCTTTTGGCCCAATCCTCCAATTTGTCTAGGTCCCTCTGTATCCTATCCCTCCCCTCCAGCGTATCTACCACTCCTCCCAGTTTAGTATCATCCGCAAATTTGCTGAGAGTGCAATCCACACCATCCTCCAGATCATTTATGAAGATATTGAACAAAACCGGCCCCAGGACCGACCCTTGGGGCACACCACTTGATACCGGCTGCCAACTAGACATGGAGCCATTGATCACTACCCGTTGAGCCCGACAATCTAGCCAGCTTTCTACCCACCTTGTAGTGCATTCATCCAGCCCATACTTCCTTAACTTGCTGACAAGAATACTGTGGGAGACCGTGTCAAAAGCTTTGCTAAAGTCAAGAAACAATACATCCACTGCTTTCCCTTCATCCACAGAACCAGTAATCTCATCATAGAAGGCGATTAGATTAGTCAGGCATGACCTTCCCTTGGTGAATCCATGCTGGCTGTTCCTGATCACTTTCCTCTCATGCAAGTGCTTAAGGATTGATTCTTTGAGGACCTGCTCCATGATTTTTCCAGGGACTGAAGTGAGGCTCACTGGCCTGTAGTTCCCAGGATCCTCCTTCTTCCCTTTTTTAAAGATTGGCACTACATTAGCCTTTTTCCAGTCATCCGGGACTTCCCCGGTTCGCCACGAGTTTTCAAAGATAATGGCCAATGGCTCTGCAATCACAGCCGCCAGTTCCTTCAGCACTCTCGGATGCAACTCGTCCGGCCCCATGGACTTGTGCACGTCCAGCTTTTCTAAAAAGTCCCTAACCACCTCTATCTCCACAGAAATTCCCATCTGTGGAGTATGTGGGTGTGTTTGTAAAAATCCTTTCTTGATTTATTGTGGCACCATTGGCATAAAGCTTTAGCTCTCCCATGAGAGGCCATGGGTTCTGCAGTGCTAGCATTAGGGCAGGAACTCCACCCACTCCCGCTACACCCACTAGGATTATTCTGGAAAATCTGGGGGCTTCCCAATCTGGTAAAGGCTGAATATATAAGCCACAAGTTCCTCCAAATGGTGATTTGCTAGAAATTAGAGAACATGGTTATCCCAAGAAGAACTAACAACAACTACTCCCAATGTCATAATCACTTAACGCTTTATCATAGAATCGTAGAATATCAGGGTTGGAAGGGACCTCAGGAGGTCATCTACTCCAACCCCCTGCTCAAAGCAGGACCAAGCCCCAACTAAATCATCCCAGCCATGGCTTTGTCAAGCCTGACCTTAAAAATATCTAAGGAAGGAGATTCCACCACCTCCCTAGGTAACGCATTCCAGTGTTTCACCACCCTCCTAGTGAAAAAGTTTTTCCTAATATCCAACCTAAACCTCCCACACTGCAACTTGAGACCATTACTCCTTGTTCTGTCATCAGCTACCACTGAGAACAGTCTAGAGCCATCCTCTTTGGAACCCCCTTTCAGGTCGTTGAAAGCAGCTATCAAATCCCCCTCATTCTTCTCTTCTGCAGACTAAACAATCCCAGTTCCCTCAGCCTCTCCTCATAAGTCATGTGTTTCCAGTCCCCTAATAATTTTTGTTGCCCTCTGCTGGACGCTTTCCAATTTTTCCACATCCTTCTTGTAGTGTGGGGCCCAAAACTGGACACAGTACTCCAGATGAGGCCTCACCAATGTCGAATAGAGGGGAACAATCACGTCCCTCGATCTGCTGGCAATGCCCCTACTTATACAGCCCAAAATGCCATTGGCCTTCTTGGCAACAAGGACACACTGCTGACTCATATCCAGCTTCTAGTCCACTGTAACCCCTAGGCCCTTTTTTGCAGAACTGCTGCTGAGCCATTCGGTCCCTAGTCTGTAGCGGTGCATGGGATTCTTCCGTCCGAAGTGCAGGACTCTGCACTTGTCCTTGTTGAACCTCATCAGATTTCTTTTGGCCCGATCCTCTAATTTGTCTAGGGCCCTCTGTATCCTATCCCTACCCTCCAGCGTATCTACCTCTCATCCCAGTTTAGTGTCATCTGCAAACTTGCTGAGGATGCAATCCACACCATCCTCCAGATCATTTATGAAGATATTGAACAAAACCGGCCCGAGGACCGACCCTTGAGGCACTCCACTTGATACCGCCTGCCAACTAGACATGGAGCCATTGATCACTACCCGTTGAGCCCGACAATCTAGCCAACTTTCTATCCACCTTATAGTTCATTCATCCAGCCCATACTTCTTTAAACTTGCTGGCAAGAATACTGTGGGACACCGTGTCAAAAGCTTTGCTAAAGTCAAGGAACAACATGTCCACTGCTTTCCCTTCATCCACAGATCCAGTTATCTCACCACAGAAGGCAATTCGATTAGTCAGGCATGACTTGCCCTTGGTGAATCCATGCTGTTCCTGATCACTTTCCTCTCCTCTAAGTGCTTCAGAATTGATTCCTTGAGGACCTGCTCCATGATTTTTCCAGGGACTGAGGTGAGGCTGACTGGCCTGTAGTTCCCAGGATCCCTTTTCTTTTTTAAAGATGGGCACTACATTAGCCTTTTTCCAGTCGTCCGGGACTTCCCCCGATCACCATGAGTTTTCAAAGATAATGGCCAATGGCTCTGCAATCACATCCGCCAACTCCTTTAGCACCCTCAGATGCAGCGCATCCGGCCCCATGGACTTGTGCACGTCCAGCTTTTCTAAATAGTTCTGAACCACTTCTTTCTCCACAGAGGGCTGGTCACCTCCTCCCCACGCTGTGCTGCCCAGTGCAGCAATCTGGGAGCTGACCTTGTTCGTGAAGACAGAGGCAAAAAAAGCATTGAGTACATTAGCTTCTTCCACATCCTCTGTCACTAGATTGCCTCCCTCATTCAGTCAGGGGCCCACACTTTCCTTGACTTTCTTCTTGTTGCTAACATACCTGAAGAATCCCTTCTTGTTACTCTTAACATCTCTTGCTAGCTGCAACTCCAGGTGTGATTTGGCCTTCCTGATTCCACTCCTGCATGTCTGAGCAATATTTTTGTACTCTTCCCTGGTCATTTGTCCAATCTTCCACTTCTTGTAAGCTTCTTTTTTGTGTTCAAGATCAGCAAGGATTTCACTGTTAAGCCAAGCTGGTCGCCTGCCATATTTACTATTCTTTCTACACATGGGGATGATTTGTCCCTGTAACCTCAATAAGGATTCTTTAAAATACAGCCTGCTCTCCTGGACTCCTTTCCCCCTCATGTTATTCTCCCAGGGGATCCTGCCCATCAGTTCCCTGAGGGAGTCAAAGTCTGCTTTTCTGAAGTCCAGGGTCCGTATTCTGCTGCTCTCCTTTCTTCCCTGTGTCAGGATCCTGAACTCAACCATCTCATGGTCAC